TTCTCTCTAGACTTGATTTGTGTTTTGTTTTTCTAAGTATTAATACTTTGCCATTAGAACTGTTGATTTCAGTCCATTAATGAGTTTTTTAACAACCTGAGATTGGCAGACATTAATGCACCAGATTAAGTTCAAAGTGTTACGTTTTCAGTGGAAGGATAGTGGTAGAGTATGTACTTACCATGTGTAAGGACCTGCATTGGACCCCAAGGGTCTCTCTCCCTCTCTCTCCCTCTCCCTAAACATTCAGAGAAGCAGAGGTAACAGGATAATGAAGATGTTTTTCTTCATCACCTCATTCATACAGTTGCCAACTCTTAGTGACTTCTCATCTCTATCCTTCTCTGGGATATTTTGAACTAAACCTCAGACATCACTTAATTTTATTTTGAAGTAATTGAACAAATACCTTTAAAAGGTAAATATTCATAACAAATACAAACTGCACAATTGCCACAGTAATTCCTTAATATTTAATACCCAGCCTGTGTTAAGTTTGCTCAGTTGTCTTATGTTCCCTTATAGAAGTTGAGTTACAATAGAGATGGCATGCACAGGTTGCAATCTGTTGTTTCTTTAGATTCAATACACAGACAACTTCTTCAGCATAGTTTGTTTTCCTTGCAGTTTGTTTGTGAAGGTGTTTTATTGTATAGCCTATGTTTTCTGTAGATTGCATTGTATTGGAGGCTTGGCCAGATTCAGATTTAATGCTGGGGACGGGAGGACAGACTATTTCAGAGTTGTGACCTTCCAGGAGGTGCGTGTCTGCATGTTTCTTTCCTGTTGTATTGCCACCATTAATGATAATTGCTTTGTTTCCTTTTTTATTGGTTATTGTAAAGTGACACACTTCTAATCTTGCATTTTAATATTTTTGTTTCTGCTATTTGCTAAAAAATAATACTATAAAGAAGTGTCTTATCTCTTGTTAGTTTGAGATACAGCTTTGGCCGCATAGACAAAGTACATGCTAGTCCCCCCACTGGAGTATCTTTCAGAGGTTATTAGTTCATGAATTTGTGTGTTTAATTCTATTTCATGTTTTAAAATCCCTTGCTTATGTGATCCTTGTAAATGGTGTTCAGTCTTTGACCACTAAGAGCTTCTTGTAGTTGGCCCATAAGCCCTTTCCAGAGTCTCTCAGCATCATCTTATGACCTCTGTTTTCTAAAATAACCAAACCTCTGGATTCTTCAGTTCATCTGCATGCCTCCACCTTCAGACATGGTATCCGACATTCTATAAGGAAGTGATATTTAGATATAATGCGTAGGTGTGCCTGCCTGTTTTGTTTCCAGGATTTCTCAGTGGACATAGATATAAAACTTTTTTATTCCTTTGGGAAAAATTAAAAGATAAGTCACCATGCATTCATATTGAAGCTCCTGACTTAGATTTTGGGCTAAGGAGTGTTAGAGCTCAGCTGCTGGTAGTGGCACTTGCCTTTAGTCTCAGCAGAGGCAGGCGGATCTCTGTTAGGCCAAGGCCAGCCTCGTCTATAGAGTGGGTTCCTGGACAGCCAAGGATATACAGAGAAACCCTGTCCAAAAAAAATTAAGAGAAAAGAAAAGGATGTTAGAGCTCATATAAGCAGAGTTTTGTTTTTTCCATATTGAAAATTCTAGTGCTCAAGTAGTGCAGCAGCTGCCCACTTGCCTTGTCCCTGGTGTACATGTATTAGTCTGAGAATAAGGATACCAACAGAGATTACCTAAAGCAGCCTTTAACACATTTGTTATTTTGTTCTGTTACATATTTAAAGCATTTTACTCTGTGCTTACTGTGGTGTGTGTGTGTGTGTGTGTGTGTGTGTGTGTGTGTGTGTGTGATGATCAGAGGACAGCCTCAGGTGCCAGTCCTTGCCTTCCACCCTGCAAGCCGTGTTTAAAAGTATTTTGCTTTATGTTTCTGTCACCATCTCAATATTAGTTGCCTCATTTGTTTAATTTCTCCTGATTTTTAGGAATTGCTTACAAAACAATTAAATTCTCCCAAATTATAGTTACTGAAGTCGAGTCTATAAACAGGTACAATAGAGGTTAGTGTCCACGTCTGATCCTGAATTCTGTTCTCTCACTTCCCTACTATTTTTTAGGAATAGAACACAAGCACATGTTGCTTTTCAAATTTCAGTTCATTAAAACTAAATAAGCATTTGCTCTTCAGTTGCACCAGTGACATTTTAAGCGCTGTTACACAGATAGTTGTTGACCTCATAGAACACAGACTGTAGAACTGTCATGATTGAGAGTTCTCTGAGCCCTATCCTCAGAGAACCCATTTCTTTAAACATTTTCTTTATCCTTGTCCTTTTTTGTTAAGTATAAGGCTATATACTTTTTTTCTGTCATGTCACAAAATACGCAAAGCTGAGTATTTACAAAGAAGAAAGGTTTATTTCGCTCCCAGTTTAGATACTGGGAGCTCAAGATTGGGCAGCTGCAGTTCTTTGATCTCCTGTGTTGACCTCATGGCAGATGATGGAAGCCCTCCATGGTGGTGATCACACGGTGAGACAAGAAACAGTAGGGGTTCTGGGATCAGACCTGATCCATGGCCCCCACCTGAATATAAGGTCTCTGTTTTCTATGTTAGAGAAGCTCTGGACCACTGAGTTGTACCCACCTCTTTGTTATACTTTGAGAATGAGCCTTCCCCAATTGCCCAGGCTGCTCCTCAACTCATGATCCTCCTGCTTCATTCTTTCTTATAGCTGGAATTATAGGTGCGTGAAATCATTCATGGTCTAGGCTTGCTTTTGTATAAACAACACACTATTTCAAGAACTCATTGTGGGAGACCAGGGTTAATTCCTTCAAATGTAATACTCTCATGACCTAATTACTTTGTATAAATCTTGTTCTCTTAAAGACACTATCAACCTGAGCATAGCCCTTCCAGGGACAAAGCTTCCTATCTATTCCTACTGCATACTTCCTGTGCTGCTGCGGTTGGTGCTTTCCTATGCACCCCAAAGCTTACACATGCTGTTTAGTCTAGGCCAGTGGTGAGCTTCTGATCAATGCCCTCACTCCATGTTTTTCTTAGTATATCCTGGAGGTTTTCCCAGACTGTAGAGCAAATACAGCATCCTCATTACTTCAGTAGCTTACAGTCAGTTAGGCGGCCAGCTCCTGCCTGTGGCATTTTTGGCCGTTGTAGTTTATCATGGTGTCGTGAGTAGTAGTAACTGCCTTGTGAATACATCTTTCCATGTATTAGGAAACACTCTACTATTAATAATAACTTCATCAATAAGGCCCTGTATTCCAAATATGAAGAGAGGAATTATTCTCATTGTAAAAGTAACCCTTTTCTCTTGCATTAGCAACACAAATATTTTGGGAGAGAAAGAGACAGAGAGAGATTATGAATCATCTATAATGCATTTGCTCCAGCCAGCTCTGTTTGGATGTTGACTCATCTCTATTGTTTTGAGTTCCTGAGTTTGGATGGGAAGAATGTTCAGTATTTCCTTATCTTTTCAATGGATGTGTGCATTTGAGATTGGTGACATGAACTAGTTGTGTGTTTCTTTACCATAATAAGTGCAAACATTTCCTTGAACACAAATTTTTTTATGTTCCCAAGGATGTATATGGTATTGATTTTCCAGTCCTTTTCTTAAGCTGTGATAAATTAGGTAGCTTCCAGTTTAAAAAGTTGCATTGTAAGCTGGGAATGGTGGCATGCATCTTTAATCCAGCACTTGGGAGCTGGGAGGCAAAGGTCAGGGTCAGTGGATCTCTTAGTTTGAGAACCTCCTGGCCAGCCAAGGTTACAGTGAGGCCCTGTCTCAAAATGCAAAACAAACACCTCCCCAACCAAAAACTGCATGTATAATATTACATGAAACATTTTTACTTTTCCTCATATTTAGATTTTTTATGGGGGACCTATAAGTAGAATTATTAAATTTAAATATCAAAAGCATAAATAAGATGGGCATTATGTCTTTTGCCTATAATCTCATCAGTTAAGAGGTCAAGACAGGAGGCTTGCTGTGAGTTTAAGCCATCCATGGTTACAAACCTTTCTCAAAAATCCAAAGTCAGTTAATTTCTGGAAACCATAAATAAAATAAATATGTCTTGTCAAATTTCTCCTCTCAGAATCTTCTGATTGTAGCCCTAGTCACATTGTTACTATTTTGAAGCATCTTTGGTAATAGAATAGCTTAAAAATGTATATTGCCTTTTTGGGAGTATTATCTAGTTTTCTCACTTAATTTTTTTACCTCATTTTTTTATGGAGTACTATGAGGTAATTATGTACTAAGGATGATTTTTTCCCCCATCAGATATGTTTTAAACTTTAAAAACTTAATTTTGTTTTACATTTATATAATCAATCTTAGGTATTTTTCTCACCCCCCCCCCCTTCTTGTTTTTCAAGACAGAGTTTCTCTGTACAGCTCTCACTCTGTAGACCAGGCTGGCCTTGAACTCAGAGATCTGCCTGCCTCTGCCTCCAAAGTTCTGGGATTAACAGTGTGTGCTAGTGCCACCTAACTAGGTATTTTTTTTTTTTTTTTAATTAGGGCTGGGTTTTTTTTTTTTTTTTTTTTTTTGTTTTGTTTTGTTTTGTTTTGTTTTTAAGTCACACCCCACATAGAACAATACTGGTGATTTGATCATTATTGTCTCATAATTTCCAGCGTTGTGTTTATAATTCTCAGGATTAAAGGAAAATCAAAATCAGTTGACCTTATGCAGAAGGAATGTTATTTTCTGGGTTATTGCGAATGTGTCTTATTGCAAATATGTAAGTTAACTATAAAAATAAATGACAGCCTCTTCCTTATCCTGGGATGCTGTGAAGTATGTTTGACTTTAGTCACTCTCATTTTGATTATTTTATGACCCTTTGATGAGTCTGCTTTCTCTTTCCTCAATGTAGGTAGTAAAATATCTTGTGTTTACTGATGCAGACCACAGATATACTGTGAAGGGAACAAGCTGCACATAAGACTACAAAAATACTTTCCAGGGTTTTCATGAATTTGTAAAATTATGTGACAAGAGGTCATTTTTACAAACAATGGGGGAAAGAGCCAGAAGTCCAGATACCGATGAAGAAAGAAAATCAGGCAAACACCATTACTCTCACTATTCGTCTGACTTTGGGTCTTCATCACAGTCTTCTGGCCATTCATCACCTGTCAGTCGGCCTTCATGTTCAAGTACTAAGGAGAAGAATCCAAAAAGACAGTTGTCAGACAACCAGGTGTATCATCAAGGTAAGTATCTACTGTAAAAGGTCCCAGACACCCAGATTCTCGGGACAGTGTGGCAAAAACCCACATGAATTAAGCTTTTCTGCTAGCATATGTTGCTGTGTGCATAGAGTGGGCTGATATTCATTTCATATAGGCTTTGTTTCCATAAATGAGGCATTGTTTGTATGTATATCTTACCATTTTTATGTTCAAAGTTATGCAGAGGAGAGCACAGAAGACTGCTCATTTTCTCTCTTCCTAAGGAAATGTCTTTCTTGTAATCTCAGAGGCACTTACTGTAAAGGCAAAATCTGCAAAACAATTCCACTTTCTCTATCATTTTTTTTAAAAAAGTAACTACAAGTAGTGATATAAAGTGGACATGATTCTTTGACAGCGCTGATGACCTTAGGAGGTTAGCACAGTGGTCACTGAAAACATTCAGCTTAACCTGGCTTAGGACTTGAAATCATCATCCAATTTGTTTGCCATTCACTGACTCAAAAGACGACTAGAATATTATTAAACAGTTTTTGTTATTAGATTGTTACTATACTGGAAAATCATAGCTGTATAGTTGTGTACTGTTACATAATTCTCTTCATTTTAATAAATCTCTAGAGTTAGGAAAATCTCATTTCCTGGAGCAGCAGAATGCGTAAGATCTGTAGCTTATAAAAATGGCCTAGAACAATAGGTTATAGCAAGTAAGGTAATCGTGACACATTGATGCATGTAGCACAGTTATGACACCACTGCAGGTAACAGACTTCCTGATGCCAGCCACATCTGATGGTAACAGCCTATACTCATTATTTTTGTGGGCGACACCTGTTGGATTGACTTAAGAAAGGGTGTAGTTAAATTTACATTAAAAATATTACCTTGAAAAGTAATGTTTACACATTAAAAACTACAAAGAGGATCAGCCAGGTGGCTCAGCCTCAGGTTAAACGTACTTGTTCCTTGTTCCTCAAGTCTGATCATGCGATTTTGACTCAGAAACCATGGAGGAAGGAGAAACCCAACTCCACAAACACCAGCTTCACTCTTTGATCTACAACACACACACACACACACACACACACACACACACACACACACACACACAGCCTGCAATGATGATGATGATGATAACAACATTGAAGAAGAAGAGACTCGCAAAGGATGTGTATCTGCATGAGGGTGACCTGTTCATGGACCCCAGTCCAGTGCCTCAGGGTGCCCATCTGTTGACAACTGAGTGCTTTTCTTCTTTGATTGCCATTCTTTTTAGGCTTCTTTTTCTTTTTTTCTTCTTCTAAGCATCATCTTTGTTTTCAGCCTTCCTCTGAATATGCTTCTTGTAATTTGTTGAGAATATGTTCTCCAGCTTCTATACACATCTCTTGTCAAGTGGAACCTTAGAAAATACCTGGTATTCCCAAGGATAATTTACATATCTAGGGTATTGTTGGCAAGAAGCACATTAGTTTTCTGTTCCTCTCCTGGAAGTTCCCCAGAATTTTGTGAGCCTTACCTTACTTGAGAAAACTGTTAAGAACAATCAGATCCGTGAAAAACAATTCCAACAACAGTCGGAAATTTTCAATTATTATCTCCCCTCTGCCTTGCATGGCTTTCTGCTCTGTGATGTCTTGAATTAAAGTCTGAGGGCATTTGTCTGCCTTATACCAAACAACAGGACCAAACTGAATTCATTTCTTGTCTTAGTTACTGTTCTATTGCTGTAGAGACACGATGGCTTATAAAAGGAAGCATTACAGTTTTAGAGGGTTAGCCAGTGATCATCATGGCAGGGAGTATGGTGGCAGGCGGGCAGGCAGGTGAGAGAGAGAGAGAGACAGAGAGAGAGACAGAGAGATTGACCTGGTGACACACTTCTTCCAACAAAGTCACATTTCCCAATTCTTCCCAAACAGTTCCACTAACTGGTGACCAAGCTTTCAAACATACGAGGCTATGGGGACCATTCTGACACTAACCACCCTACTCCCACTCCTGATACCAACTTCTGTCATGGTTATTGTTCTTTTACTATGAGGCAGTATGGCCAAGGCAACTCTTACAGAAGAAAGCATTTAATGGGGGCCGGCTTACAGAGGGTTAGTATATTTATCGTCGTGGTGGTGGAGAAGTTGATGGAGAGCTTTACATTCTGTTCCATGGGCAGCAGGCAGAGAATGAGATGGCTTGGTGTGGGCTTTTGACTTAGGTCCTTTGTTTGTTTTTGTATTTTAACCTTTTGATAGGATTTTAGATCCCTTTTTTAAAGAGTAGATGTGATATCCTGAAGCTTACGCTCAATACAATTTACTGAAAATACTTTAAACTTTTTGGGAAATGTTATGATTTAATATGTATATTTTAAGAATTTTATGTGTTGTAAAGTGACATTGGTTTTATGTATGTGTGTATGTCTTTGTGTGTGTATATATGTGTGTATCATGTATGTGTGTGTACGTGGAGGGTAGAAGATAACCTTGGGTGTCGTTTCTCTGGAATTATCTGTCTTGTATTTTAAGACAGTAACCCTTCATGGGTGTATAGCTTGCCCAGGTAGGCAGACTGGCTGGCTGGTAAACTCCAGGATCTTTGTCCTCAACCTCACAGTGCTGGGATCACACCATCACACCCAGTTTTACCATGCCTGGCTAGGTTTTTCATATGGCTTGTGGAGAGCAAACTCGGGTCTTTGTGCTTGTGTGACACATATTTTGAGAACTGAGCTAACTCTTACCCCAGAACCTCTTTAAAGAGAAACATATCAAGATATTAAAACATTCCTGCTATTTGATTTTTACATAGCTCTGGAACTTGCTGTGCATACCAGGCTGGCTTTGAACTCAGAGACCCACCCACATGCCTCTGCCTCCCAAATGCTGGATTAAAGGTGTGTGTCACCACACCTAGCCTCTAAAATCATTTTTTTTTTAAAGAAAAAAAAAAAAAAAACTAAAAATTATGTAGGTCCACGTGATCTGAGTAGATAAATAGTAACATGGGTATAGCCTTCACTCACATTGTTACCGTTTCTTTTTTAGCCCTTAAGAAGATTAGCCCTAAGGCTATACCCAGCAAAAAGGGAACCCGAATGGGATTTCGATCCCAAAGCCTCAACAGAGAGCCACTGCGGAGAGATCCAGATATTGTTACAAAGCGGGTTCTGTCTGCCAGGCTTCTGAAAATCAATGAGCTGCAGAACGAAGTGTCTGAACTGCAGTCCAAGCTAGCCCATCTGCTCAAAGAAAACAAGGCTTTGAAGAATCTTCAGTATCGTCAGGAGAAAGCCCTGACCAAGTTTGAAGATGCAGAGAGTGAAATCTCACAACTTATACAGCGTCACAACAATGAGATTTCTGCACTCAAAGAACGCTTAAGAAAATCTCAGGAGAAAGAACGGGCAACAGAGAAAAGGGTAAAAGACACCGAAGGTGAATTATTCAGGACGAAGTTTTCCTTACAGAAACTGAAAAAGATCTCTGAGGCCAGACATCTCCCAGAACGAGATGACTTGGCCAAGAAACTGGTTACAGCAGAGTTAAAATTAGATGACACCGAGAGAAAAATTAAGGTAAAATTGTACGCTTCACATCGTGTCCCATGGCTGGTGCTCACTGGGCATTTGAGGGCTCTGATTAAGCAGCCCTTTGCAGTTTGGCCTTTGCTTAGACCTGAAAGTGCATTTTAATGTTATTTTTCTTGCATAGAAATCAAGGACAGATCCAGGCTGGTGGTTCGGGCTTTTAGTTCTAGAACTCAAGATGCCAGGGCATCTTGGTGAGTTTGAGGCCAGCCTGGTCTGCTTTCTAGACCAGCTAGTGCTGCATAGTGATACCCTGTCTCAAGCAACAACAGAACCACAGAAGAACTCAAGGACAATTAAGGATGTATATTTAGGGGCTGGGGAGAGAACTTAGTTGGTAAAGAGTTGCTCTACAGCCATGAGGACCTGAGCTCCACCCTTAGCACTTGCATAAAAATGGCTGGGTGTGGTAGGTGGTGGTGAGCACTTGTAATTTCAGTGCCAGGGAGGGGAGATGCAGGCTGGCATCTATGGGGCTCACTGAGCAGCTAGCCTGGTCTACTTAGCTGAGTTCCAGGTACCAGGGAGAGACAGCTGCTAGGAATGAAACCCAAGATTGATCTCTGGCCTCCATTCATACACATCCATGTAGGCATACCCACACTTACACAAAAGAACATGTATTTAAGACCTAGATGTCGAAGATTGTATATATTATTAGTAAGCCATATGCAGATGGATGAGTTTGAATCTTAGTAATTTCTGGAAATGTTGTGTTTGGCTATTTGATTGTCTTTGATGTATAGTAACCACCCTGTACAAAACATCCCTTTCTCTGAAGCTAGAAATTGATGAGAGAGGAGAAGGCTGATAAAGGGGCAGAGGGTCATGCAATATCATGTCAAAAAAGCAAAAGTAAAAAGGGGACTACCTGGGGGCAAAGAAGAGAGTCACATGACTTAAGGAACATGGGGGGCAGTGGGAGGGGGGGACAAATGAGAAGTGTGATGGCCCATGGGTGTGAAATGGTTTTAGTGAAACTGTGCAGGGCCCTTTGTATAAGAAACCTGCATGGAGAACAGTCTGTGTGGGGCGGGGTGAGGCAGACACAGGCCTGGTGTGGTGGCATGTGCATGTAACCTGGACATTTGGGAAGCTGAGGAGGGACTGTGAATTTAAAGCCAACCTTGACCATAAAGCCAGACTCTGCCTCTTATAAATAAGGGAACTGGCTTCTTCATTTGTTTTGCCTTTTTACCTATTTTGAGTCATTGTAGAAAGATAGGCATTAATAGAAAGTTTATGGAAACCATTATGCATTAATAGAAACCATATTCTAAAATAGGGCTTTCCCCATATTTTATGATCATTCTACAATATTAAAGTTGGTTCTGATACAGTGAAATGATCCAGCAAACTCCTCAGCCTTCCCTGACTTTATTTGTACGCATATGTGTGTTTGATTACGTGCATGGTTTTTGTGACTGTGGTTCAGGTCAAGATACAGATCAGCGATACCTTTTATCCTTCCCTCTCTAACCTGAGGCATTCACTACTAGGCATCTCTATAATTCTGTGATTTCAAGGAGTTGCTTACTGTATAGACTTGATGCTGGGATACATCACTTACACTCTAATGCTAGCTGTCGGATGAGTAAACAGCTTTGATTTCTGAGTAGTACTTGACAGTGTGCTAACAGAGTGTCATGGTATAGCCAATTGAAGGATATTACCTTTCAGGTTTTTGTACTAAGCAATAAAGCTGCTAAGAGTGCTCACGTACAGATTTTATGTATGAACATGACTTTGATTTCTCTGGGATGTGTACCTGGAAGTACCTGTGCTGCCTCCTAGAATGTCTGCTTGTCTTTGTCAGAGCTTCCCCCCACACCCCCTCTCACCCCCCCCCTTGCTAGAGTAGCAGTGCCAGTGGGTGTCCATCAGCAGTGCCTGGCTGCTCTGGCCCTCCGCTCTATCAGCATGGCAGCCTTTGCTATTAACCGCTTTTAACCGGTTCTCACAGGCCTGCAGCAACCCTTCCTGTGCTGCTCAACTAGGCTTTCTCTTTTGGGGGTTTTCCCTTCACATTAGGAAAGCGAATTCTCTCTCTCTCTCTCTCTCTCTCTCTCTCTCTCTCTCTCTCTGTTTTCTGTTGGTTTTTGACAGTTCTTTATTTTTCCTGATATAAACTTTTTTTTTTAATGTATGCTTTGCAGATCTTTTCTCACCATCTTCACAGATGGAAAGATATTTCAAGAGGGAAAGGTTTTAATTTCATTGTGATCCACGTGACAAGATTTTTCTTTGATCTATTGTGCTTTGGTATCAAGTCTAAGAATGGCTCACCTCTTGTCCTTTGCTTATGTCGTAAAGATCACCTCAGTGTTGTGACCAAAATTATTTTCTTTCCTTTATTGAGGGATAAGTGACAAAAATATTTATATTTAATTATATAGCTCAGTGTTTCATAAACACTTCTGTTTTATGTTAACGTAAGCTCCTAACAGTTAAGCCCATTTTGAGGTCTTTTTTGCAAAAGGTTGTGGTTAGGCCTCAATATCGGGTCTCGGTTACTCAAGTGCCGTGTGAAGTGACTCCCTCCATCACCTCCAGTTGCTTGGGTATCTTTTAAAATCACTTGGACATATTTTTGAGGGCTTCCTTTTAGCTTCTAATTTCTCCTGCTGATCTAAGTGTGCCTCTCCTGTCACAACACACCCTTGATCCTTAACACGGAGCAACAGTGACTTCTTACAGGTCTGAGATCTTTTTAATGTGTGTTAGATCTCCTGCCTGTTTTTAAAGATTTGTTTTATTTCTATGTGTGATTGTGTGTGTGTGTGATTGTGTGTATGTGTGATTGTGTGTGTGTGTGTAGGCAGTTTTGAGCTACCTGATTTGGATGCTAGGAACCCAACTCAGGTCTTTTGGAAGAGCAGCAAGCCTTCTTAACTGCTGAGGCATCACTCCAGCCTCTCCATGTGTTACTAAAATGAGCTTATGTGTGTGTGCAAACACATCCTGGAGCTTTGATAGGAACTGCTTTATGCACTGATTGATTTGTGACTGCCACCTATACTGCTGAGTTTCCTGGCTCTAAATGCAAGGTGTCTCCATTAATTTGACTCATTTTTGACTTCTAAATAGTCTCAAATTTTTCTCACATCACTTCTAAAGTTAAGTTTTTGAATTTCAAAGCTTATTTCTATGGTAAAAAAATAGGTTTTCAACGGAATAGTTTATGCACATAAAGGAGTGATGCAGTTTTAGAAATGACCCAGGTTTAGAATCGCTGATATGTGAACTCTGTCTCTCCACGTCTGAGGCCTGGACCGAGCTGCTTCTATGTAATTAAAATTGTGTTGTGGTCAGCGTTAAATATGCAGTCAGGGACCTTTTTGTGCTTAGTAATGTCACATCTGCCGCCACACCTTCTGAGTAGTGTCACTTCTGAAGCCCTCTGAGGAGAATTATTCTCTACCTTTTAGCTTATTCTTTATCCTTTCCAACACCTTTGACATCCAACTCAGTGTATATAATTATTTCCTTCATAATCTCACTTAAAATCAACATAGAACTTAACATATTTGCCATTGAGGTTTTAAGCCTCATTCGGCTTCTTAAATTTTGCCTCATCCACTCGATATTTATTTTTCCCTCTAGTTCAGTTGGTGATGGTTAAGTCCCATAATTGCTTAAGAGTCAGGGAGGAGCTCGATTGTGATGCTGTATTTTGCACACTCACTAAAACCCAAAGGTGGCCTGGCTGTGCCAGTAACTGTAGTCACCTCCCTGCAGTGTTCCAGCAGCTGCACACGTTCACCTCAGGCTGACTGGCTATGTTGTCCAGAGGGCATTTCATTTGTTTGATTTGCTGTTCCTTCCTTCCTTCCTCCCTTCCTTCCTTTCCTTTTTTAAAAATATGTTATCTGTGCTTGAACCAAATTTGTACTTTCAAAACAAAGATTTTATATCTTTCAGCTTGTATCACTTGACTTCCTTAAATCTTACTTTTAAATGCATTTATTGTGCATATTTAAAATACAGAACATGATGCATACACTAAAATGGTTAGTATAATAAACAAAATATCCATCATCTCAAACAGTTGCATGTATTTCTTCTCTGTGATATGAGCAGTTACCACGTACCCATGTAATTAAAACCCTGAACATATTACATCAATTAACCTGATTTTCATATTGCATACCACACCTTTGACATTTTTGAGGTTGTTTTTATATTCATTTTATTAGTTTTTAAGACTTTCATACATGAGTGCTGTATTTATATCATTGACTCCCCATACTCCTTTCCCTCTGACTTGTCCTTTGTGTCCCCTTCCACTCCCTCTCAAAGTACCGGCTTCTTCACCTATTACTGTTATGTAACTACAGCCTGCTGAGTCCACTTGGTGTTTACAATATGTATGCATGTTTGGGGATGACTGTTTGGAATTGGGCAATCAGTCCATCAGGGCGTTCAGTAGTGTAGGGGTGCAGTTGATAGTTTAGAAAGGGGTGTGTGTTTACAGAGCTAGTGAAATATTTCAATGGAGTCAGCTGCCTGACAGGTGTCCTCTCCCTTTAGGAATCAGCTCACCTATACTAGTCCAATCCCAGGACATACCAGGGTGAACTGCTTGATACAGTTATTCTTGCTAAACACAGTACAAAGGGCTGGCACCTAAATCAGATCGCATATTTAACCCTTATTTAAAATGATTGTACATCTTTATTTGGGGTTCTATATATGTGTATGTATTGCATGGAAACTTTCAAAATTCTTTCTCACAAGAAACTTAAATTTTTTTTCAGATGCATAGCTTGCTATTGTCTAATATTACCCTTCAGAGAAATGACACACTGTTGTCTGTTGTCACCCTTCTACATGACAGCTCCTTTTTGGCTGTAGTCATTGCTCTGTGTGGCAGCTCTGTGTTGGCTGTAGTCAACCCTTTGCATGACAGCTCTGTGTTGTCCTTTTTAGAAACTGTACTGTGCAACAGCACACATTATCAGTTTATTAAATAGTTTCCTCAAAATAGA